GGGGGGGGGGGGGAGGAGTTTAAACTAGATGCATTATGGTCTATGTGAAAATGGTGAATTTTCAAACCAGCTTGATATAGACTGCGTGTGAGGCGTGGTGGCCCACAGTGGGCTATGTTTTGGACTTACTACCATTAAAGGGAATCAAGAGTTCCGGATTCCGGCCCTGTCCACAAGAGTTGTCCTTGTACGTCATAGCCTACGTAGCAGGGGCAAAGGGAGAAAAATCAAGGATGGCGCGCGCACGAGGGGAGAAAAGGAGGAGGGAGCCTTCTCCTCTCTTTTTGCATGTTCCTCTCTTGCGCTATATTAAAATTAAGCAATAACATTAACTCGAGTGCTGAATGTTGTCTCTCTGGACAGTGTTATCCTTTTGTCGCGGGTCATTGTGTTATGTTTGAGTAAGACTTGAGTAAGACACTTTTCTCTCATGGTAGCTCACTCCACCCATGGCCATGAGTATAAATGGATAAGTGAAGAATTCAGTGCTAGGGGACAACACTGCAATGGGCTTGCTTCCCTCTCTAGAGGAGAAACAGTTATGCTACTATACAGAAAACTGGGTGTGACTTGGGCGTACTTTTCTCGGATGCATACCTTTAATTTGTTTCCTCCGGTGGTCTGCAGCTAAAGTAATATTTTAGTTAGTATAGGTAATAGCATGATTTGTAGTGATATTTGGCATAAATACTCCAAGTGATATTTCGAAATTGGTATACGAAATTTCACGAGCCGTTAGGCGAGTGAAATTTGAGACAATTTTGAAATATCACTAGTGGTATTTATGCCAAATATCACGTACAAAACATGCTATTATTTGTTTATACTACTACCCGCAAAAGGTTTGTAATTTTCACATGTACGTATTTCAAATTACGCTGAAATACCACTGCTCTAAGCCAATCAAATTGCAGAAATTTCAAATAGGGTAGTATAAGGTAGTGGAATATGAAATGATAATTTTAACAAAATATCAATTACGGATTACGGTTGGCCATGGAGATCATGACATTTTTTTCTCGTGGCATCTCTTTTTTTCCCTTCGGGTTGTTACCAGACGTCGTCTGGGTTGTTACTTATATATGTTCTTACGATCACGACAAAACCTTTTTTGATGGTTACAAAACTTACCTCGCGAACACCTCACATGGTTTTGTTCTTAGCTCATGTTATTTCAGTTATTTCAGTTTTTAATTTTTTCTTTTCCAAAAAAAAGACAAAACAAAACAAAACAAAAAATTAACTTTGAAACCGTGGCAATACTGAAGTTCTGCGAGCCGGAAAGCGAGTGACACCGGTTAAAATTACAGGAACCTCACTTCACCGTCAAACCAAAATTACAGCTGAGATTATAACGAAGGGCCAAGGGACTGGCAAAATTCATTCGCTATAACGAGGTTTCGTTATATCGAGGTTCATTTCCATATATTTTATTGTCATTGGGGTAAAGAAAACTGTTCGTTGAGCGGGGAAAGCGACAACTTCGCTCGGTTATTTCGTGGTTCCTCTCACATCGGGCCTCAGGGTCGGTTTTAGCTCCAATATGGAATAAAGAATTTTCCGGTTTGTCATATGACGACTTATCGAGGATCGAGTAGCACGTGTCGTCACGAAGATAAATACATTATGGGATGCGAAGATGCAAATTGCTATGAATACAAACACAATCTCTCAAACTGGACAATGAATCATGAATCGCGGTGGAAGAAACAACGGAATCTATGCGGCCGAAACGATTCTAAAGCGCAGAGTTAGAGAGGTAAGGAAGGAGTAAATTTGCCCCATATTGTGGTGAAAAAATCTTTATTAATCCAAGGGCTTTCCATGGTTTGTTTTGCAGGGAAAAATTGAATATTTCATCAAATGGAAGGGTTACTCGCAAAAGTAAGCATTGTGAATTTCACGTGCATAATTTACCAATAAATGTTTTAGATGTCCCTATACTTATTGCTGGATTTACCGATCATATCCAATTAGATACAATACTTGGGAGCCGGAAGAAAATGTGCTTGATCCTAGATTATTGAGGGCTTTTCGACAACGGCTGGCAGTAAGGTGAGAGCAGATTCACTTCTACACGATCAGACATGTTTCTTTCACTTCGCACCGAAGTTTGTTTATAGCAGTTAGCTAGCAGTCATATGTTATCTTAATATAGCGAAATATGAATTTTCGGAAAGTGAAATTACGATCAACATTCTGGTCGATCGCATAGGTGAAAATTTGTACCATCTTCTTTCGAAATTAAGCTTAATTGTTCGTGTCAATAATCTTTTGGCTTAATGAATTCACGAAAGCAATAGCATTCGAAACTTTTTTATTGTAAATATTATTGTTTTTAAAAATTATATTTTTAACGCTTTTTTATAGCTTGCAAACTAATCCCCCTTGTATTTGTTTTTCGCTTCTTTTTAAATGTAGTAAGAAGGGGAAATTCAAAGGAAAGAAAAGGCGAATGATTGTCTCTGAAGAGAGTGTGAGTATGACAAGACTTCCTCTTATTATACGGTAAAAGTGTGATTTTTTAGAGGTACTAGCTGTCAGTTTTTAATTTGACTTTCAAGAAATGAAACTTAAAATCTCATAATTTCTGTGATGGTTATATTACCAGATACGACGTATTTTATTCTGCATATTACAGTAAAATTATACAGGATTCAAATCGGGTAGAGAATACCGCAACAAGCTTATAGGCATGGAAAACTATTTTGGTTTAATTAATGAAGAGTTTTCAGATGTTCGCCAAATTATGACGTTACTTATCAGGTGTACAACTTCCTTAAGCTACTAACCTTACAACACTGTGAAAAATATTTTTGTTAACATGTATCATTTTTGGTTTGCACTGTAAAAATGACTTCCGGTTTGAACTTGTTTCTTCTTGTTTGTCAAATGGAAATTCTAAAACCTTCTTGAATTAATTAGATAAGATACTACTTTCAAATGGGTATCTAAAAACGTCCGATGTGAAAGTGATGATTTCTAGGGCTACCATTAAAATTTCTTCAAAACTTTTTACTAAGTTAATTTTTTCTTCCCTGTTGAGGCTGGAAAGGTTTGCTCTTTGTGCAGTAAATTTGTTGTTTTTTTTTTTATATATAAAATTTTGAATCCTTGGATTACATGACACAGTAAATAAGCATGTTGGCATGATTTCCTTTGCTGTACCTTGTTTACACATACAATGTACAGTCGACTCTGGATAGCACTAACCCTCTAGGGAAATTGAAAAAAATTTTAGTTATTGGTAGTTCGATCCAAGTTAATAACCACAAATAAGGAAATGGGATGAGGAAGGAATGTATAATGGATCATGCACACTTCATGATCACTTCAAGGTATTGATATTTTGAAATAGGTATACAAAGAAGATATGGTTTGTTTTGAAATAAATTCAATGTTTCCGACTGCAGTACAATTTTTTTTTACTCCAGCATACGCTTAAAACGTGGTTTGAGTTATCCAGTGTAAAATTATATGAAATAGTCTGAAGCGAAACAAAAATTACTTTGAGATAGCAGGAGGTTTGAGTAACCGAGGGTAAAATTACCATAAATGTATGGAGGAAATCAACCAGGGGAAATCGATTTTGGTTCTAGTTACCATAAGGTTGAGTTTATAGCAGGGGTTTGAGTCATTGGGAGTCGATTGCATGTAAACTTTTATCTGCCGGAAAAGTTAGGGAACACATTTTATGCTTACCGTATATAATAAACAGTTCCTCAAGAAGGTATTGCTGAGCAATTATCCCACTTCAGGATTTCATCTGCAGATTGAGAAGTGCAAACCACCATGTACCACAAAATAAACGGCACCACAGGAAAGTACTGCTCAGTGCTCAGTAGCTTTTATTTGAATGGTCACATTTCATCTTCAGACTCACGAGTCAGAACCACATTGTACAGCAAACAGTACTACAGGAAAGTAGTGCTTAGTAGCTTTCATTTGTATGGTCAGATTTAAAGATTTCACCCATGGACTCAAAACTCAGAACCACATTGTACTGCATAGTAAGCAGTACTACAGGAAAGTACTGCTCAGCAGCTTTCATTTGAATGGTCACACTTTTAAGATTTCATCCACAGACTCAAAATTCAGAACCACATCGTACAACATAATAAACAGTACCATAGGAAAGTACTACTCAGTAGCTTTCATTTGAATAGTCAAACGTTCTAAGGAACCTTTTTGCACAGCAAAATTACCAATAACCTGCAATTAGGTGGTCCTTCTCTTTTTCTCTTTTTCTCTTTTTTTCCTTTTGCCTGTCTGCCAACTTTTTGTGCATAGCCCAAAAAAAAAATGAAAAAAAAGAATTCTTGATTGTAGGCTAATTGATTAATAAGATATTATGCTCAGTAACTTTCAATCAAATGCCCAAAGTTAAGGATTTGTGCCCTGGGGGGACTTCCATTTATATGCAGGGCTAAGCCCTAGCAGTACCCAGTAGCCCCTTGTGTCTAACTTTTGCTCTCGGGCGACTAGGTAATCTTACGATTTTTCATAAAAATACTATGCTGGGCACCCTGGATTTCATAGGTTTGGGGCAGAGCCTTGATATGAAAGGGACAGATAGATGGCCATCGAAAAAGTAGAAGTAAACCTCAAAGGGGACCAAAATTTAGTGTGTGTGCAGACGTCGCCCTCCCCTCAGAAAGAGGGGAAGAGGACATCTGTACACAGGCTAGACCAATTTGGGCTTGGCTCAGGCTTTACGTTAGACTACGAGTAGTCCCCCATTTTTCCTCAGGGATAGTAGAGCGAGTGAAATGC